TCCTTTCCTCCCACCACCATCACCTCCTCCGCCACCATGTTCTTTGGCAACGCTGCCTCCTCGCTCATCGCCGCACTATACGGCGACGGTACGCTGGCGCGGCGAGCCGCTACCCCTGTGCACGCGCGTGCAGGGGCAAGCTCCCGTGTCGGCGGACTTGGCCCTCCGACCGTCTTCTGCGCCGGCGAGCGCTGGCACCCGTATTCGCCAAGTGGCCGCGCCTCGCGCGCTCAATCCGGATGAGACCGTCGTGGTCTCGAGGCTCACCCATTTCATTTGGAGCTCTTTTACTGTTGAAAGGTCAGCACGAAATTCATACGGCTCACCTCCCGGCACTTCGCTGACGATATACATAGACATTGTCACCCTCACCCTCCTCTCACGCGCCGTCCTGGCCCTTCGTGCCCGTCACGGACATCACCGGCCTTCTCGTCGACGAGCGCGTGCTCGAGAGCATGCCATCTCTCGCAAGGCAACGCGGATGACCGCTGCGCCTTGTCGATTCGGCATGGTCGAGCTCGTTCGGCACCTGCGTCTCGAGGGACGGCGCAACGTCGCGTCCCACCCGCTCCCAGTCATTCCGCCGCACTAAGGTCGTCGTACGAAGGGTGTCTGCGACCAGAGCAGCCGCAAGGTTGTGCATGGGAGCGTTGACCCTAATTACGACGTCCGGCCGTGCCTACGGAGCGCGTGTGTTTGTCGCCCATCTTATGCAGCCGGCGAATGCTACGCAGCTCCCAACGCCTTTGGCTCCGCCGCCGGTCCCGTATTCACCACCATCCAATGCTGCTGGGCCCACCAATCGGTCATTCATGACCGAGCTCCTCCGCCTATTGAATGTCACAGACGTCCCTTCGGTAGTCGAGGACGAGCTAGATGTGTACTCAGCTGCTCTTGCTGCAGACGATGTCGGCAAGACCCTGACAGTGTAAGTCGTACTTATCCGCACTCTACGACACAGCTAACTTCTGGGTTGTCCAGCATCTCGTTACCGGATTCCTCGCCTGATGAGGAGGTCATCTTAAAAGGCGCTATCGAGGAGGCTTGTGCTGAAGCAGCTGATCCCCCGGTAGATGTGGTACGTCACTACTTGATCAAGCATATCGCTGTCCTCACAATCTATAGGATGTCTCCTCATCCCGCCACACGACGCCCCTCGTTGACCCGACTTCGCTCAACATTCTACGGAGTGAGATGGTCTTGCGGCGTGCTCAGACTCAGAGCCTCGGTTTCACCGCGCTACGCCGACGTGGCGGCCGTGCAAGCACGAACGAGGAACGTCGAATGGCCAACGAGCTGCGCACTACACGCGCGAGCATGGTAGATCGCGTATCGGAGCTTATGGACAAGCACGAGAAGACGACTACCG